TAGAATCCCACTACTCCACCACAGAGTCACCGCAGTAGACGTTAGATGAGCGCTGTCGCTCCGCGGCACTTGTTTAGAAAATAACAGACGACCGGATGAGATATTGGTTGGGGGAATAATGTGTACAGTAGTGCATTCAGCACATTCGCTCCGCACATACGCATTTCGCTCCAGGGATGTATATTCGGTGCCCTTCGCGCCTGTGTATGTGTGTGTGTGTGCGCCCGCGTGTGCGTGCGCCCACGTGTGCGTGCGTGCTTTATTCATTTTATGACCAGCGGTGTGGAATTATTGCATTATATCGTTTACGTTAGGAAACAAACAGTTATTGTAATGTTAATTATCTAATGTAATGCCAAATAAGGGGTTATATAATATAAAAAGGGGTTATTACGATTATTTTACCTGAAGTGTTGTGTATCATCTCAACTGTTTATCTCACACATTTAGGGATCGTTTATATCACGGGAACATTTTGATCTCGCACAGGAAACCGTCTGGGACGTACCTGCATATCCTGCGAGTAAACCACAGCCATGGCAGAAGGAGAGAGTCAAGGAACGCCTACACTGGCAGGAAACTTCAAAGCTTTTGCGATGTTCGGTGACAGCAAGTCGGTGGGGAAAACGATGACGAGCAAGAACTTTGACAAGTGGTTGAAAGATGCCAAAGTCGTAGATGGAAAAAAGATTCCATCCACAACCACTGACATTGCATTCGTCAAAATACTGGGCAAAAAACCAAAGTGAGAAACCAAACCAACCCTTTCTCTCTGACTTGCTTTCTCTCCTTCTATCTCGCCTAGTCTCTCTTTTCCCTCCCTCCCCCTCTCTCTGTTATTCTCTCTCGCTCTTTTATTCTCTCACCCCCTCTGCTTTTCTTTCCCCCTCTATTTTATTCTCTTCCCCTCTCTCTCTCTCGCTCTGTTATTCTCTCCCATCTCTCTTATCTGACCCCTCCCTCCCCCTTCTCTCTGTGCATACGTGCATGAATTCGTCTCTGTAATTATCTGAGCATTAAACTGTTGTTTTGCAATTTTAGGGGGACGAAGGTGATCGAATTCAAAGATCTGGCAGCTGTGTTGGATGAGATAGCTGCTCACGCGAGCAAGGCCGATGCAAAGAAGAAGGGTGTCCCAGAAGATGATGCCAAGCAGGAGCTTTTGGGTCAGATGAAGAAAAAGTTGTCCAGCTGCAACCATCCAGGGCTGAAAGGAACCACCGTAAGTACGGTGTGTATGTGTGTGCGTGCGTGCATTCGTGTTGTTAACACTCACATCTTACGCGAGTTGTATATTCATTGTCTGTGAACCATTGCAAATCATCATTCGTATTGGTCGTATCTATCTATATGTATCGGTGTATGTATGTCTATATGTATCTGTATATCTATGTCTATATCTACCTATATGTATCTATATATCTATCTATATGTATCTGTATATCTATGTCTATATGTATCTATATATCTATTTATATGTATCTGTATATCTGTGTCGATATATACCTGCATGTCTATCGTGTATATGGTTATTGCAACTTGCATTCTGTTTACCTTCTTTAGTTTTATTTGATATAAGCTCATCTTCAACGTGACACACACACACACACACACACACGCACACACGCACACACTATTTATTCAATCATTTACTCATTAAGTGTGTTTATATATATATTTTCAGTTATTGTAATTCGTGATTCAGTGAGCTTGAGGGGTAGTTTGTTTGATTGCATCAGTTTCTAATCCCAATCGTAATTACTCTGGAACTAAGTAGATTCATAATCGAAACGGGCTTTTCTGTTTTATGTATAGTCTGCGAGTAAGAAAGGTGGAGTAGACAGGCTGACAGACACATCCAAGTACACGGGCTCACACAAGGAGAGGTTTGATGCAGAGGGTAAAGGAAAGGGCAAGGTAGGACGTAAGGACATTGATAGTGGATCGGGATATGTTAGCAACTACAAGGGAGAAGGAACTTTCGATGAAAAGGTGGCAGGTGATTGATTTTGATGTGTTCATTGGCTGGTAATGAGCCTTGGCGCAGAATACGCGTGAAATGCGAGGTCGTATATATTCATCATCAAAGCACAGAGCTATAGATGTATATGTTATCATAGGTACAGCACTGGCTTTGGGAATTACTGTGCAAGGGGATGTAGGGTTCAGTGTTTTCATATAAACTCTTGACCACCCTTGTTTGACTAGAATCAATCATACATGTTACTGTAACGTGTTAGTAGCATGCTGATGTAGATTACCTCACGGGTGTGCCCGATATGTGGTGTCATACTGCAAACCACGTATGTGCAACTCTAGTAATGCTCATTTGTTTATACTAGTTACTCAGTACATAGTGCTTTTCTGTTAACTATAAAAATCCATGTTAGTGAACTAAATGCAGAATCAGCACATATTTTTGCATTTGTCAGACATATATGTTTCTGGCTTGCCCTTGTTTCAGGCACAACATAAAGAAAATCACGTATAGAGTGTGTAATGTATGCTTGTTGCGAATGTCGTCCAATTTACGTAAAGGTCTATGAACGTTGTAGTGATATCACAATTTAAACGTGTAAAAACATCTCATGAAGAACATTTATTGTCACCAAAGTGTACTTAATGCTCATTTATCAGCACATCAAAAAGCCTACATGAAAGCATTGTTATGGAATTGATTTGATAGAGGCTTAAAACACAACGCAAATGAAAGATATTTTAGTATATATCTTTGTAACCCACATTCCCTCAAATTGGAAAAAAACTGAACAGTTGTTGTTATAGATTGGGCTAGCATGTACCACTTGAAACCTCTGATTAAATGATTGACCAGAAGAATCTCAAGAAAATTGGAGGTTCAAAAGGAGAGAAATCCTGACAAACAGTATAGTCTCTAAGTGCAATCTTTGGCAGAATCACTTACAATCAGTGGCTGCCATATAACTGACCCACCTCTCTGACTCTCACCCCCTCCTTTGGATCTTGATAATTGCTGGGTTGAACAAGATATTGACCAGTTTTTACGTGTTTGTCACACATGCGCATCAAATTGTTGACTTTGCCGCACTTCGTTGCCAAGCATTGGCTTTTAGAACGACCTAGGCCAGCATTGATTGGCTAGAGCTGCCTGTCAATCATGCCAAGCACCTTACTCAATTGGCAACACTAAAGTTGTGCAGACTGCTCCAGTATATAGTAAATATAAACACGTTTTCAGTTTATAAATCATAAAAAGTCATTACAACAATAATATGTTTAATTAATATTCGTATTATATATAATTATAATCGATTTGGTCACACGATTTTGATCAGCACAATATACAGATATGATGAGCACACACTACGCTGCTGTCATGTTGTTATGGAACTGGTCCAACATGTATGGAGGAATGTACATTTCCATAAGCTGAAACAGTAAGATATTATTTTTAAGCTAGGATTAAAAATCAATTTAAACAACATATCATTACGAATCATTGCCAAATTCCCCTATGAAATTTCAAGTGTAATACACTGCATAAATGAAGGTGTATACACACTATAACAGAGTGTCCAACCTGTAGACTTGAGAAATCAGGATTTTCATTAGGGGGTGGGGGTGAGGGCGGTCTGGGGCATGTCCCCCTCCCCGAAATATTACTCAGCGAATGGCTATCCAATAGCCGCGTATGATTTGAAAGTAGTAAATGGGCACACAATCCGCGCACTATTTCATATCACTATTTTATCAAATTATTAATAAAATAATGGTCGGATTTTTAATATCTTTGCAACTTTTATTAGTCCAAATCTTATTACAGAGGGTACAAGTAACCTGGCCGCTGTAAAACTTGTGGTAAAAAAAACCTTAGAAATTCTCACGGAAATCTACTTGTAGCAGTGGTAGATTGAGCCCAGATCGAGAGCGCCATCTGTCGTGGAGTTTGAGCCGTCTGTTCACCTGAGCCCGCAATACAGTTTCATGGTATTTACCGCTGGGTCGAAATGCATGCAGGGAAGGCAACGGAGCATTCAGAATAGATTTTATTGCTAACAATCATGAGAAATTAAGTGGAAAATATTTATGGACTTTTTTCGCGAGATAGTGCGTGCAAAATATGGAAAATCGGAATTTTCCTTATCCCGAGGTTCAAGCAAAATCGGGATGGTTGGACACTCTGCTATAAACAAACATCCGTTGATTCAATCGTTCGTCACGTACTAAATCTTACCACTGATGACAAAGCAGTAGTTTTATACCACTATTTTCTTTATTTTAATAATATATAACGCACACACGCACGCACGAACGCACGAACGCACGTGTACGTACACACGCACTCACGCACGCACGTGTACGTGCACACGTACATATGCACGCACGTGTACGCACGCACGCACGCACGCACGTATACGTGCACACGCACACGCGCACACAGGAACGCACGTGTACGTTCACACGCACGCACGCACGCATGTACGCACGTGTAAGTGCACACGCACGCACGCACGTGTACGTACACACACACACACACACACGCGCACGTGTACGTACACACGCACGCACGCACGCGCGAGCACGTGTACGTGCACGCACACATGCACGCACGTGTACGCACGCACGTACGTATACGTGCACACGCACACACGCACGCATGTACGCACGTTTACATACACACGCACACACGCATGAATGCACGCAGGTGTACGTTCACACGCACGCAGGTGTACGTTCACACGCACGCACGCACGTCTACGTGCACATGCATGCACGACTAGGCGATTTCACCGGCGATTTAGTCGCCCGATTTAATCACCTAGTGTGTCCGGCCCTTAACAAAACACTAAAACGGGACTCTAGCTCTTACAAGTGTTTTCGTTTTACAGCGTGTACCCGCTACAAATTTGTGCATTATGTGTACGTCGGCAGTGGAGTAATTTTTGATGTGGTTGGTTATTCGAAGGTGATTCATGTGATGAATGACTACATTCTAAATACTGACGATTTTTTTCATCTCCCACATTAAGTATTCAAATGATTTAGTACTAAACCACAGAAGAATACAGAATACAGAATTCCATTTAATCCGTTTTTTGTTTTCGTGTGCCATTACATGTAGTGGCTAAATTGTTATGATATTTAAAATATTCATTACTTGAAAAAAGATGTCGGTAAAATCGTAGAAAATTGAAAGCTTTCTCTCTGTCTTCACGTAAAGACTGATAAGATAACATCAAGAGGAAATAAACCCTAACATGCTCTTAAAATTGATATTTATGCTCCTAGGGTTTATATGCTTTTGATGACATCCTATCATTTTTATATCTTGCTCTTGGTCTAATGTAAGTGGTATTAGTCTTTGTGTGTGTTTATACCAACTTTGATAGGGGTAGCAATGTTACTCGTGATTTATAATTGAAACTGCCACTGAGAGTATAGGAAATGAATTGTTTTATATCTTAATAATTTATAATTATGCGAGGAGCAAACAATTAAAAGGTCATCTGCTCTTGATATTGTAAATGTCATCTAATCTATGTGATTGGATGTCATATTGCTATCCTCACGAATAACTTATGATGTGTTGTTACACAGTACCGTATATGATTAAGAGCGTAATATATTCGCTCTCTTAAATGAGCCTATAGTAAACAAATTGTTACGCACACATGGTAATGCAATCTGTGATTATAACATTATTGTTCAAATAAATCTTGTACAAATAATATATAACGGTCTGGTATAATCATTCATATTGTGTACGATCAATGTTGGGGGAATGAAGCGGAGAGAGATGGAGGGAGGGAAATAGAAACAGTGGAGGGGGTTAAAGAGTGAGAGTATAGGAAAGACAGAGAGAAGAGGGAGGAAAGGTTGCCACATAGAGTTACCTATGTACACCTATCCATCCGAAATAAATGTTGTCAAACAACTTGGTGATGCATCATACTCTTCTATCTAGCGTATTCTATCTACTATTCTACTATTCTATCTAGCGTACTCTTACGTTACATTTCTCCTAGCTATATGTCTTATTGCGCTGGCTTATACATGCCTCGATTCTTTCCCATATGTAGCTGGTATATACTGCAGTTTTGCTTAAATAAATTTTTCTACATTCCTTCTCTTTCCTCTCACTCGCTCGTTCTCGTTGGGTCTCTCTCACACACACACACTCGACCCCTTCTCTGTCGGTCTGTCTCTCGATGTCTCTTTCTCTCTTTCTCTCTCTCTCGTCTCTCCCTCTCTCTCCTTCCCTTCCTCCCTCTCTCACGTCTCGTTCCCCCGCTTTCTCTCTCTCTCCCACATCGCGCTCTCTTACTTTCTCTCTCTCTCTCGCTTTCTCGCTCGCTCTCTCTCGTTCTCAATCTCTTTCTCACTCCCTACCCCTCTCTTCTCTCTCTTTCTCCCTACCCCCTCACTCATATCCCTGCCTAAATACCATTGTTTCTCTCACGCGTGCGCTCCCCCTCTCTCTTTCACTTCACGTACGGCAGCGCAATGTCTAGAAAGGCAATGCGTGCAGTAATAGCTGCTACATTTGGCCTTTACTGCGGCGAATAAATCAATGCAGCCCCGTACCGAGGCCGCGAAGCGATGCCGGGAAGGGAATGAAATCGTTGCTGACTCATCGAGCGTTGCTACCACAGCAACCGCAACCAGAGATTAGACGCTGCAGCTCGGTCACCACCTGCCCAAATCAGTCCTCACAGTCAGTCTAATTACATCACGATCTGTCGTTACCAGTAGGTAAATATACCGTTGTTTATATTCGCAGGTTCTTTGTGCTTGGTATTTTCTGAATTTTATACCCCTAGCTGTGTTGGGTTTATATTATTGTGTCTATATCTATATACATAATTAATACGAAGCGTTTCAACTGTAAACACACGCCGTCGCCATTGCGCGCACACTGACAAATAAATATATATTTATATGTATATATATATATATAAATATAATATAATAATAATATAAATATATATTTATGTGTCAGTGTGCGCGCAATGGCGGCGGCGTATGTTTACAGTTGAAACGCTTCAACTTCAAGTGCCTGTGTGTATGCGCGCGCGTGCGTGCATGTGTGCGTTTGTAGTGTTGCTTGGACGTGGAGGATTTCGACCCGTTTTGATGACAGAATAAAGTATAAACCATATATATATATATATATATACTAGCTATAAATATTAGCAGGCGTACATAATAATCTCTTTTTGAGATTGTTTACCCCTAATAATATATTAGTTAATATCACAAAGTGTTTTTATTCCCTTCGGTGTGCCACAATGTATTTTTATTCACTCCCAACTTGACTATATCAGTGTTTATACACTGTATCAGGCGACTAATGTAGGGGACTAGTAATTCCACTTCTTTGTTACGCATGGCCAAACACTTACAATTTCACCTCACGCAAACGTCGATTCGATTACGCCCACGCAAGTTTCTTTTTTTAGCTCATCTGCCGTAGTCAGATGCAGCTTGTAGAATCGCATGATCGTCCGTCCGTGCGTCCGTGCGTCGGTCAACAGTTTGATTAAATCGGGCGACTAAATCGCCGGTGAAATCGCCTAGTCGTGCATGCATGTGCACGTAGACGTGCGTGCGTGCGTGTGAACGTACACCTGCGTGCATTCATGCGTGTGTGCGTGTGTATGTAAACGTGCGTACATGCGTGCGTGTGTGCGTGTGCACGTATACGTACGTGCGTGCGTACACGTGCGTGCATGTGTGCGTGCACGTACACGTGCTCGCGCGTGCGTGCGTGCGTGTGTACGTACACGTGCGCGTGTGTGTGTGTGTGTGTGTACGTACACGTGCGTGCGTGCGTGT